GGGAGCGCTGGATTTATAGGCTAGTATACATTAATGTTAAAACATAACTTATAACATAACTTACGACAAAAGAGCCGAGATAATAATAATTTAAAAAAAATTACATGATTCGTCTAGCGATCTCCGGTCGTGAAAAGCGCTGCCCTGTCCGTTTGATCGCCGCCCAGCAGACACACGAGAAACGAGAGGCATGAGAAACGAGAGGCGCGGCCGCGATCACCAGTGCTCGCCTCATCATCACAGTGACCGCTTCTGCTAAATATTCCTCACTTCTTCTGTTTGTTCGACACCGAGGTGCACCAAGAGTGACGGATACGCATCCCGGGCATCCCGCTCGATGTGCTTTAATTTTTATTTTTTTATTTGTAATAAACACCTCTCTGAGACCTATTTTTGTCAGATCTCCACTGTTTTTGTTCAATCAGTTACATATTTTAATTTCATGTGCATTTTGTTTTATTTAAACCTCCATTAAGTTTAAAGTTAATCCATAATCGAGATTTAAATCCGAGTTTAATGTTATGGTGCAACAGGATTAAAGTTAATCTTAAATATAACTTAAATCCAGGATCAAAATGATGGGTTAAAATGTAAACCTGCTTATTTTTAAAGGTTTAAAGTTTGGTGCAACAGACTTATTAGATAAACCTTGATTTAATCTTGATTAAAAATTAATCATGGCAAACTATTTCGCTATATTTTGAAGAAGAAAAAATGCACATTAGGCCTAATGTCTGAAGTGGGCAAGCGGCAATAGGCCTAATGATCATTTAAAATATCATTTGAAGAAGTGTTTCTTTCACAAAATGAGCATTGAATATATAACTATAAAATATACTATTTTTATATATACTATATTTTACTCCCTCTTCACCAGGCTCTCATGTCACTTTCATTTCTTTCAGGATAAATAAATGAATTCACGTGTTGTAAATCAGTCTGTAGGCCTATAGCGCACATTGCCCCTAAAATTAGTGATCAACTATGCATATTATAAACTTAACATTTAACGTACAACATTTTTTTTCTATTAAATGATTTTGTCTTTGTTGCTCTTAGTTATAAAGGATGGTAGCACAGCATTTTTGAATGATTGTCTTCATGAGCTTGCCTGCATCCAAATTGCATGTTTCCACTCACTTGTAAAGTACGCTAGCAGTTATTTCTTCTAGTTCTTTCAAAGCAGTTCTTTCTGCGTTTCCGCTCACATGTTTTTAAATCTGTTTCATTGAGGTTCCAAATAATGTCTCATTGGCTTAGATATAACACCTAGAAGCATATAATTCTCCTTATGTGTGTGCTGCAACCAGATTTCATAATCGGTTAGGATTTTAAAACTCCTGTAGTGTGAGCCCAGCTTAAGGGCACCCATCTCACATGAAATTGAACTATGTCAAACATATTCTACCTGCCTTCCTGATATAAATGACTATGAATTTGATTTGGTAATTAATACTGAGACACTTGAGACACTAAGGAGCACTAATGACTTGTTTAAGACTTGAAGCTAAAAGTTGAGGACTTGCAACTCGACTAACTCGACTTGGTCTTGACTCAGGACTTGACTCGAGACTTGAATGCAAAGACTCGAGACTTACTTGTGACTTGCAAAACAACGACTTGGTCACACCTCTGTCCTTTAAGGTTCTGTTGATGGAGTAATCCTGTGTTTGCGTCTCTCCTCTACTACAAGCGCATCTCAGTGGGCGGTGCTAAAGAGGCAGTGATGTAGAAGCAGGCGTTGCTAACGAGGGGGTTTCTACTGACCCTGAGAAGATTGCGGCTGTAGCTAACTGGCCTCGACCAACGGATGTAGCAGCATTAAGATCTTTTTTAGGGTTCGCTAGTTACTACAGATGATTTGTTAAAGATTTCTCAGTAATTGCAGCCCCATTGTACCATCTGATTGGAGAACTGGGTGGAAGTAAGGACAAAAAGGGTGCGCGGAGACCTGTAAGCAGTGCCTGGACCCTGGCCTGTGAAAAGAGTTTTCAAGATTTGAAGGTGTGTCTGATTAATACTCCTGTGTTGGCTTATGCTAACTTTTCATTGCCTTTCATTTTGGAAGTAGATGCCTGCCAGAACGGGCTGGGAGCAGTGTTGTCGCAAGAGCAGGAAGGGAAAGTGAGGCCTCTTGCCTATGCAAGTAGAACATTGAATCGGACCGAGAAGAGGATGCCAAACTATAGTTCTATGAAGCTAGAGTTTCTTGCTCTGAAATGGGCGATGGCGGAGAAATTCCGAGAATATTTGCTGGGCCATAAGGTTGTCGTCTGGACCGATAACAACCCTTTGAGTCATTTGAGTACTGCGAAACTTGGAGCAACAGAGTTACGGTGGGCAGCTGAGTTGGAAGCATTTGACTATACCATTCGGTATCGATCTGGACGGGCCAATAGAAATGCTGATTCCTTATCAAGACAACATGCCACTGAGGGAGTATCCCTTGTGGATCACATTCTTCCAGGAACTTCAGTTCCAGCACGATTGGAGCAGGCTATTGGCCAGACACCAGTAATTGCTTGTCAGTCAGAAATATCTGTTTTACCAGCCTATTCTGTGAACGACCTTGCTGACCTTCAACAAGGTGATCCCATAATTGGTGCTTTTTTTTATTTTTGGCAATACAAACGGAGGCCAGATCACATTGAACGGCAAGCGTTGAGTAAGTCTGTATTGGAATTGGTGAGACAATGGGACCGTCTGGTGGAGAGAGATAAGGTCTTGTATCGTAGGACCTTTCGCCCTGATGGAGGAGAAGAGGTGCTACAATTAGTATTGCCAGAAGTATTACAGGAGGAGGTGTTACAGCAGTTACACCAGGGGCATGGTCATCAATGCATTGAGCGGACGACCGAGCTAGTGCGTTCAAGGTGCTATTGGCCTGGAATGTATAAGGCAGTTAAGAAGTGGTGTGAGGAATGTGAACGCTGCACTTTGGCTAAACCAGCACATCCTCCTGTGAGGGCACCAATGGGACACCTGGTTGCCGCAAGACCAAATCAAATTCTTGCAATTGATTTTACTCTCCTGGAGCGTTCAAGGGATGGTAAAGAGCAAGTATTAATAATGACTGATGTTTTCTCCAAGTTTACGTAGGCAGTTCCAACTTACGACCAGCGGGGGCTCCCACAGTGGCAAATGTCCTGGTGAAGGAATGGTTTTGCCGTTTTGGTGTCCCAGCTCGAATTCACTCGGACCAGGGTCGAAGTTTTGAAGGGGCATTGATACAACAGCTTTGTGACCTGTGTGGGATACAGAAGACTCGTACAATGCCCTACCACCCTCAAGGCAACGGCCAATGTGAACGGTTTAATCGAACATTGCATAGCCTCCTTTGTACACTTCCCAAATCAGCAAAAACTGACTGGACTAATTACTTGCCCCAATTGTTGTTTTCTTATAATACCACCATACATCAGACAACGGGTGAGTGCCCACATTTTTTAATGTTTGGCCAAGAACCTAACATCCACAGCCGACAGCAGGGACTGTGATGGACTGGATGGAGGAACATAGAGAGCGTTTGCAAGTGGCGTTTGATGGTGCTCGGGAGAGGATTTAAGCGGCAGCCCGTCTGAGGAAGGAGCGGCACGATCAGAAGGGGTATAGCTGCCACTTAAAAGAAGGACAGTTAGTTTATCGAAGGGACTACAGTAATCGAGGCAGGAATAAAATACAAGATGTCTGGAGCCCGACAAAGTACATGGTAATTCGAGCACCCACGGAAGGAGTGGTTTATTCTATTGCCCCTCCAGATAAACTTACACGGGTAAGAAAAGTACATCGGACTATGTTGAAGCTTGTGCCTGATGATTTGCCTCTGTATCTTTCTCCATGTGTGGGCCCTGAGACTTTGCGATCGGAGCATGTTGGGCATGAAGAAGAAAGGGAGGATGGACAATGGATTTATGTCCCACTGGCAGAAGAGAGACCACCTGCTACTGTGACAGTTCCAGCTGTTTCTCCCCCTGGTCACACGGAGACGGTTGCTGGTCTATTGCATCCTAATGGCTGGCAAAAGGTTCCAGGGCAGGTGGCCGATATGCTGCCTTCAAGTGTTGAGGCATTAGACAATGGAGAAAATTCCCTACGCCGGTCAGCAAGAGAAACTGCAGGGAGACATTCCAACCCTCATCATTTGCCTAGGGCTGTGGAGAGTAGTGCAAATGGGGCTGCGACTTCTTTCCTTAGCCATAGTGAGGGGGTGACAGTTGTTTTTAGGCCTTGGATTTAGGTTATTTAAGCTTTTTCTTTGTTGTTTTTTTTTCTTTTAATTTGCCGACGGGGCATCGACACATAAAGGGGGGGTGGATGTGACCGAGTGGATAATAAGGATGGTGTACGGGGTGGGGCATAGGTATTTATTTCGCCCTATATATAGCGCAAAGGATGGCAGGTTGCGTAATTTCCTGACGTTTGATCCTTTCCGTCTCCTTCCGGTGTTGTGACCCTGAAGCGCTATAGCGAGGTATGAGCGTGGCATTTGTTTAGATGCTGTAAGAGCTTGTATAAGGACGTTTTTGTTTTTTACATGGTTTATTCTATGTTAATTGCAGAGAGATAACCCCCTGATGCAAGAGTGTGAGCGCGTGGGCTGTATGTAATATTATGCAAGTTGCGGATGCCGTGTTTCGCCTATAGCAACGAGCCGTATCACGCAGGGTTTCTATTCCACTCTATTATGCAGCGTTTCTAGTCCACTTTTGGATTACGGCAGAGGTATGTGTTTGCGTTAGATGGTTAGGTTTGTTATAGTGATCATATTTATGTATAATTATTGGGTGATGTAAAGGATTGTGTTGAGTGGTTACAACGCTGTGTTAGTTGCGCTGTGACAGGTGTTTATTTGTGTTTTTATATTGTTTGTTTATTTAGTTTGTTAAAGATTGATAGTTGTTTTGTATTTATGTTTTTGTTTTTCTGTTTGACAGATCTTCCTCTGTGGAGTTCTATGCATATGGACCTCTGATGTATAGGCCCTGCTGTTTTGCTTATGATTTTTTTTTAAATAATATATATATATAAGTTTTAAACTGATGGTCATATGCTGATGTTTGTTTTGAAGTTATTTTTTTATTTGTTATTATTGATTTTGTCAGCTGGGTCCTGTTTGTACCAACCGCTAGGGGTCTATATGATGTGTGGAGAAAAGGGGAGTTTTTAACCCATTTTTCTATATTCTAGGAGCCAGCAGTTTTTAACTTTTCTATATTCTAGGAGCCAGCCTGCGTGGGAGTACTTTCCTCTGGGGTCATCTGGGTCTTTCCTCTACTGCATGTGGCGTGAGGTTTTTCTGCACTGCGTGGGTATTGATTTGAGAGTGTAGAGTTATTTGTATTATTCACTACACCTTTTTAAATTTGTTGGTTGGTGCACGTTAGTGCACGTGTGGTGTGTGCTCTTGAGCTTGTGGGTCTTTGGCCCAGTGACTTCTTTTCTTCCCGCAGGCTTGGTTAATCTTGCATACAGGAATTGTGGGTTACAATTTTAATATTTGACAAAGTCTAGACATCTTAAAATTGTGTTTCTCTCTTTTTAAATGGATATAACTGGGAAGTTGATCGCTTACTCAGAGATTTCAGTACTGATTGTTAATAAAAGTGTTGTTCTTGAAGGTCACGTCTCTGTTCTTCATTCACTAGCTATAGAACTTGTGTTGCTGTGTTTAATTATTTCCGTGGGTATCTAACCCTGGTGGCGTAGTCAGAATCAAGTTGATCATTGGTTATCGCTCGGTTACACTAACAAAGGACTGCTTTTTGGTAAGGTATTCTTGGCATTTTGGGGGATGGAGTTTGTTGACACTCTCTTGGTCTCTATTGCTGCCACCAAGCACTTCAGTACTTGATTGTGGCGCCATGTGCACCTGTGTCAGGCTGGTCTTACAACCCACCAGGATATGTCTGAGGTTTGCCAGAGCTGCACACAGGTGGCAGGCTGGGTCTTGTCTACATCATACCTGCAAGTTTATAGGAGAGGGCTGAACATCATTTAACCTTAATTATTTCATAATTAAGAAAAGACTTAATAAAATGAATATTATAACTTAAAATCATAATTAATATTTCTTAACCTTCATCATATGTGGCTCTCACGATAAAATTTAGCCTGTTGGTTTTTCATGCTCCACAGTTCACTCCAAGTGATTTTATGTCATTCTATACCATTTCCCACCTCATCCAGCGGCCTTGTTAGGCTTGGGAGACTGCTCTAGTGCATCTAGTTGCTTCCTCCTGACGGCGTACCTCCTCCACTAAAAGGTGTCGCTGTTCCTTTGCTGTTGCCTTTTGCCATTTAGGTGTTATTGTTCCCAACTTAAGTCCCCCTCTACCATATTGGACTTGCCCCACAATATCCCGGTGTTTGAGGGCTGGCTTTGCATCAGCAACTGCTGTAAATGGATTCCATTTCCTCCCTGTCGCCAATGTTAGAGCAGCATCTCTTACGCAGGGATGGCGGGATTCTTTAAGCGTCATCTCCAGCCTCGTTTTGGTGCATTTGTACTCCTCCACAAGGCTTGAAATAGGAAGAGAGAGAGTCATCTTGGTAGCCCTCAATTGTGTACTCACCAGTCTCTCCAGATGCTTGGCGTGAGATAAAGTGAGTTTTTTTTTTTGTCTGTTTTTTTGTTTTGAGTCTTTAAGGTCTGCGGTGTAGCAACGTCTAAGGCTTTGATGGGCTTTTCCATGACCCTTAAGGTATGGTCCCTTAAGCAAGCAAGCCAGAGGCGACAGTGGCAAAGGAACCAAAACTCCATCGGTGACAGAATGGAGAAAAAACTTTTTGTGAGAAACCAGGCTCAGTCAAGGGGACAGTTCTCATCTGGCCAGACGAGACCAGCAGTTCAGTTCCAGGCTGCAGCAAAGTCACATTGTGCAGAGGACTCATCTGGTTCCTGTGGTCTTGTCCCGGTGGCCGTCAAGGAGACAAGCTCTTCAATAGGGGATCTGTCTCTGGGCCTATCTAGTTGTCCTGGTCTCTGCTGACATTCAGGGCTGTAGAAGGTAATTTCTAGGTGCTAATCCACCATCTGGGTTGGATATGTACTGGATCCGGGTGACTGCAGTGACCATCTGATCTGGATACAGACTGGATCTGGTGGCTACGGTAACCTCAGAATAAGAAAGAAACAGACTAATATTAGCATAGATGCCATTCTTACAATGATGTAGCAAGTACATCGGGTGTTATGGGAAGTGTTCCCAGTTCCGGTTGTCCTAATTAATGCAGCCAAAAAGTACTTAAACGAATTTGAATATTAGAAAATGTGTTCATGTGTTATGTGTAAGCCAGGTTAAAGAGATGGGTCTTTAATCTAGATTAGATTAGAGTTTGTCTGCCTCCCGAAAAATGTTAGGTAGGTTATTCCAGAGTTTGGGCGCTAAATATGAAAAGGATCTGCCGCCCGCAGTTGATTTTGATATTATAGGTATAATCAAATTGCCAGAGTTTTGAGACTCTGGCAATTCGAAAGAACTAGTTAATTACAGACCGATCTCGAATTTCCCTTTTCTGTCCAAGATAATAGAAAAGGTAGTATCCTAACAATTATATTCCTTCTTAGAGAAAAATGGTATCTGTGAGAATTTCCAGTCAGGATTTAGACCGTATCATTATTTACAAATGACCTGCTCTTATCATCTGATCGTGGTTGTATCTCTCTATTAGTGCTATTGGATCTTAGCGCTGCGTTCGACACTATTGACCACAACATTCTTTTGAATAGACTATAAAACTTTGTTGGAATTAATGGAAGAGCATTAGCATGGTTCAAATCGTACTTTTCTGACCGCCATCAATTCGTAGCAGTGAATGAAGAGGTTGTAGTATGGAGTACCTCAAGGCTCAGTACTAGGGCCGTTACTCTTCACGCTTTACATGTTACCCTTGGGAGATATCATCAGTAAACACAGTGTTACATTTCACTATGCTGATGATACTCAGCTCTATATATCTTCGCGGCTCGGCAAAACATACCAATTTGAAAATCTAGCGGAATGCATAGTCGATATAAAAAACTGGATGATGAGTAATTTCTTACTGCTAAATTCTGAAAAAACAGGTGTTAATTATAGGACCTAAAAACTCTGCATATAATAACCTAGAACACTCTCTAAGACTTGATGGCTGCTCTGTCAATTCTTCGTCATCAGTTAGGAACCTAGGTGTGCTATTTGATAGCAATATTTCGTTAGAAAGCCACGTTTCTAGCATTTGTAAAACTGCATTTTTCCATCTCAAAAATATATCTAAATTACGACCTATGCTCTCAAAGTCAAATGAAGAAATGTTAATTCATGCGTTTATGACCTCAAGGTTAGATTATTGTAATGCTTTATTGGGTGGTTGTTCTGCACGCTTAATAAACAAACTCCAGCTGGTCCAAAATGCAGCAGCTAGAGTTCTTACTAGAACCAGAAAGTATGACCATATTAGCCCGGTTATATTAGCCATTACACATGTATAGATTTTAAAATCTTGCTTACTACTTATAAAGCCCTGAACGGTTTAGCACCTTAGTATTTGAACGAGCTCTTATTGCGTTATAGTCCTCCACGTCCGCTGTGTTCTCAAAACTTTGCCATTTTGACTATACCTTTAATATCAAAATCAACTGCGGGAGGCAGATCCTTTTCCTATTTAGCTCCCAAACTCTGGAATGACCTACCTAACATTTTTCGGGAGGCAGACACACTCTGTCAATTTAAATCTAGATTAAAGACCAATCTCTTTAACCTGGTTTACACACAACACACTAACACATTTCTAATATTCAAATCCGTTAAAGGATTTTTAGGCTGCATTAATTTGGACAACCGGAACCGGGAGTACTTCCTATAACTTACTACATCGTTAGAAGAATGGCATCTATGCTAATATTAGTCTGTTTCTTTCTTATTCTGAGGTCACCGTAGCCACCAGATGCAGTCTGTAGCCAGATCAGATGGTCACTGCAGTCACCCGGATCCAGTACGTTTCCAGCCCAGACGGTGGATCTAGAGATGATTTCGACAGCCCTGAATGTCAGTGGAGACCAGGACAACTTGATGAACCCCAGAGACAGATCCCCAGTGAAGACATTGTCTCCTAGACGGCCACCGGGACAAGACCACAGGAACCAGATGAGTCGTCTACACAATGTGACTTTGCTGCAGCCTGGAACTGAACAGCTGGTTTCGTCTGGCCAGATGAGAACTGGCCCCTTGACTGAGCCTGGTTTCTCCCAAAGTTTTTTCTCATTTCTGTCACCGATGGAGTTTTGGTTCCTTTGCCACTGTCGCCTCTGGCTTGCTTGCTTAGGGCACCATACCAACGGTCATAAAAAAGCCCATCAAAAGACTTAGACGTTGCTACACCGCAGACCTTAAAGACTCAAAACAGGTGGAACAACTCAGGCAAGAGACAGTCAGTGGACTCAAGAGAATCAATGGTACAGCTCTTCCGAGGAAGTTGAAACTGTGGTGCTTCCAATTTGGTTTGTTGCCACGGCTTATGCGGCCAATTTCCATATACGAGCTCACTTTATGTCACGCCAAGCACCTGTAGAGACTGATGAGTACACAATTGAGGAAATGGATTGGGCTACCAAGATGACTTAGCAGCATAGGGCTGAACACGCTAGAGACCTGCATGGGATGGATTTTTCAGTCCCAATCTTGCCCACTCCCGCAAGATTCTGTCCCGCGCCCGCCTGCTCCCGCAGAAAAATATCTTATCTGGTCCCGCTCCCGCCCGCGACATTCATGTTTTGTCCCGCTCACCGCCCGCAAAAGCCTGCATAAAAGTAATCTACATAGATTTTTTTCAGCACATCAAACAAATTTACATCAAATGGTTCTGTAACATCTCCTAAGATCCACAACATCCCAGTATAAATGCTCCCGATAAAATATTTGTTATTTAGACTAAGCATCAACATTAACAAACCAGAGTTATTTTTAATAGAAAAGCAAGCATGGGCTGCTGCGTGCATGGTTTGGCATGGCAGAATGCGAGCAGC